ACTATAAAGTTCAAATCCTGATAGTTTAATAGGCTGATTTTTGTTTGGGGGAATGTCTTATTTTTTTCTTTTTGGTCTACTGCTAATACCAGCAATTTTCAACTGGTGTGCCATAAGTGGATCTTAGGCGTGCCACCAAAATTTTTAAGGATTGTTAATTAAATTACTTTTGAAAGAAGTTCAAAGCACAGTAAATATATTCTTTTTTTTCTTTTTTGCTCTTTTTTTTTTTAATCAATATAATTTAAGTGTGGCCCGGAACTTTAACTATAGGTTCAAGTGTCCTGCAAGATAAAAAAAGATTGAAAGACACTGGCTTACATAGTCACTTGTGTACTTGTACCTTTTCTTAAAAAATGGAAATGGAGGGTCGGCACCTGTGGCTCAAGTGATTAAGGCGCCAGCCATATACACCTAAGGTGGCGGGTTCAAATCCAGCCTGGGCCCACCCAAACAACAATGACAGCTGCAACCAAAAAAAATAGCCGGGCATTATGGTGGGCATTGTGGCAGGCGCCTGTGATCCCAGCGAGGCTGAGGCAGGAGACTCACTTGAGCCCAGGAGTTGGAGGTTGCTGTGAGCTGTGATACCACCGCACTTAACCCAGGGGGATAGCTTGAGGCTCTGTCTCAAAAAAAAAAAAATGGAAATGGAGCTAATCAATAAAGTGTGAGTATTATTGACTGCCTCAGGAACAACTTTTACAAGGATTTTTGTTCTTATTTGGAAAGCACATTCAATGAAGGGGACATCTTGCTTTCTGATGTGTAAATTCAGAAAATCAAGTCAATTTTCATCCACGAGCAATGCAGTGAAGGAAAGCTTAGGGTACTTCCTAAAAGCAGTACTATTATGGGGTCAGAAGGGAGTGGTAAGTGGAGAACTGGCAAAAGAGGAGTGTATTCCAGAATGAAACTTTGTTGTGACGGTTGTAATCCTCCCAGAAAACATGCGTGCTCTGTGATGATATTCCTGGTGTGCTTGTGAGGGACACATGTAGACATTTGATACTTTGCTTGCCTCTGCAAGATCTAACCTAGTGCTGTGTCCCACAGTAAGACAGTGAACATTGCTGACCCAAACAAAAGTTGCCAGAAAAAAACTTTATGGTGCACTCTGATATTTAATATTTTTTCACCATTTTTAAAAAATCCTGTTTGCAACCCACTAAATTTCCTTGACATCACAATCTGAAAACACTATTCTAAAATAAGCTCAAATTAGAATTGTGAGGATACAGCCGGACTCTCTCAACATGGTAAGAGGAACCATTACTGAACTTGGACTCAACAAAACCCAAAACCAAACCAAACTTTTTATATCTGTTAACTGTGAAAACCAAATATGAAATGTCCAATTTTAAATCAAAGTTTAGTTTACTGTAACTCAAATAAGAAGCAGTACAATGAGTCAAAGTGCACACCTGTGCTATCGACACAGTTTTGCCATCTTCACAGCAGCAGCAAAGAAGCCTGGAGAGCAAGGGATGCTGACATCACAAAGGCGTTTTCCACATCTTGTTGAGAATTGAGTATTTTTCCTTGCAAGAAGTGGTCCAAAGCATGGAAGAAGTGACAGCCAGTTGGTGGAAAGTCTGGTGAATAAGGTGGACGACAGAGAGTTTCCGAGTTGAGTTTCTGTAGTTTGAGCAGAATTATTTGTGCGGTAGCGTTGTCTTGCTAGAGGACTGGCCTGTCTCTATTGACCATTCTCAGCAGCTTAATCACAAGCATCCTCAACATTTTGTCCACCTGGCTGCACTAGACATCACTGTAATCGATTGACCAGCCTTCACGAAGCTGTAGTGGGTGGGTATTATGAGTGTGGGTATACAATAATACACCAAACAGACCCCATGAGCTTTTTGGATGAACATTTGGTTTTGGACTTGTTTCAGCACTTAATCTTTATCCAATGATTGTGCCAAATGCTTGTAACTGTCAAAAAGAATCCATTTCTTCATTACATGTAACAATACAATGTAGAAATGGTCTATCTCTGTGCCACGGGAGCCGAGAAAGGCACGTTTTGAGACAACTTCTCTTCTGATGGTCATTTAATTCGTGCAGAACCCATTTATCTAGCTTCTTTACCTTGCCAATTTGTTTCAAATGGTCTGATATTGCTGGAATACTAACATTAAGCCTCGCTGCCAATTCACTCGAAAGTTGAGGTGGATTCCTTTCCTTCACAGCTTTCAGCTGATTATTATTCACCTTGGTCTCAGGTCACCATGGGGCTCATTTTCAGGATTAAAATCACCAGCATGAAACTTCTCAAACCCGTAACGTACTGTGAGTTCATAGCCACATCTCTCCCAAACACTTTGCTGATATTTCAAGCTGTCTATGCTACATTGGTTCCCCACAGAACTCATATTCAAAACTAACAGGAATTGTTTACTTATCCGTGGTTTCACAAAAAAAAAAATTTTTTTTGAAAGATAATCACAAGCCAAAATGTGTGTTTGAAAGAATGAGGGTGTACCTTCACAATCAAAACAACACATGTCAAAGTAAAACGCCAGATTTACCAATTGTTAGTACTTAGGAAAAGTGGACTTTCCATACTTTATAACCTAATAAAAAACGAGGGCAATACCACCTTTCTCTAACTCACATTGTGGTCAAAATAATCAAAATACTTTTCCAAGTATAAAAATTACAGCAAGAGATTACATTAAGCAATTCAATTATTATAGCCACAGTTGTGATAACAAAAAGAAGCCGCATAGCCTCAATGAATAAATACAAATAAAAGACGATGCCTAATCTATAATGACTTTGAAGCACAAATGAGACCATTAGTTACAAGCTTCTCCAGCAGGAGAGGTAATAAATTTGGTATTACCCAGGTTCTTATCCCATTTTACAGATGAGCAAGTGAACTGCAAGGTCCTTGTGGAGTTGAGGACTCTCCTGGCCTTTGTCTGATACAACAAGGAAGTGAAGTGCACTCAGGAAAACCAGACAGCACTTGGTTTATTCTCAGCAGCCAGCCTTGTCTTTCATCCTCTTCCTTCTACAAGATGACCTTCCCCAACTTCTGGACCCTGGGCTCTTCCTGACACCCTACTCCATGTAGGCTATGTCATTTCTTTACTCAATCCACTCATCATCTTCCTTGAGTGTGGACTGGGTGCTGCACGCTATTCCAGACACTGAGGATAAAGCAGGGAACCCGACCATGGCCCTGCCCTCCTGGAGCTTACACGTTAGTGGGGCATATGTTTTCTTTTCCAGCTTGACCTTCCCAGTGAAATAGAGTTGGGGAGCAGTATTAGAACTGTAAAAGGACAAAGAGGTGGATAATCCAGGGTACTGTTAGCAGCCCAGGGACCAGGGGCATAGTCCTGGGTCTCTGAGACTCATGGAGAAGATGATGACTTGGAGTCAGTGAACAAATCCAGGGTCAGCATAGAGAATGGCTCTAGATGCCGAGTCAGCAGATGCCACCCCAGCAAGATGACCATGCAGTATTTGCCTATCCAGGACAGCCTTTTCTATAAGACCATGAATAGCAAAGAAAGAAACCCCAGCAAACCCAGCAGCATTTCAGGAAGAAGAAAAAGTCCATGTTTCCTGGTCTGAGGAAGTAAGTGGAGAACTGTCAACTCCAATCTGCCTTTGGCAGAATTTCCACATCGTCAGCCTTGCTCACTGTTGCTGTAATTCCAGTTCCCAACTCTCACCTCCATTGTGTCTGTGCTACTTCATAAAGGGCTTTGCAGATACAAATGGACAGAGCTTACCTCATTTAAATTACGAGGGAAATTATGCAATTGTCTGGTGCCACCTGTGAAAACTAAAGTAGGTGGCAAGCCATATTATGACCCAGTAAGTCTCTTCCGCCTTCTCAGCCCCTAGCAAAGTCCCTCCGTCTCCAGACATGGAACCCTACACTTGGCTAAAGCTTGAATTTTAAGCAATTTCTATGTCAGGACAAAGTATGTGCCACTAGTTAGTTTTCTGCCTTCCTTGAGTGATGCGAAACTTCAGGCTTACAGAAGTAATGGACCTAGTCATAGTTAAAAGGGGAATAATAGTTTAAGAAGTTTTATTTACAACATGATCAGCATTTGGGGGGAGGTGAATATGGAAATAATAGTAAGTCAAATGTTTATCCAGTTTTATATTTTTTAACTGAAGAATTATAAATTTAAAGGGAAGGGCTTGGTGCCTGTGACTCAAGCAGCTAAGGCGCCAGCCACATACATCAGAGTTGCTGGGTTCAAATCCAACTCAGGCCTGCCAAACAACAACGACAACTGCAACCAAAAAATAGCCAGGCATTGTGACGGACACCTGTGGTCCCAGCTACTTGGGAGGCTGAGGCAAGAGAATCGCTTACGCCTAGGAGTTGCAGGTTGCTGTGAGCTGTGTGCCACCACACTCTACCCAGGGCAACAGCTTGAGGCTCTGTCCCGAATAAAATAAAATAGATAAGTTTAAAGGAAGATTGAAAACAAAATTATTTTAGATGTCCATTATATGTCCAGCACAAGGCTAGTCAAGGGAGAGATAAATGTGTAAATAAACAAATGCCATTTGAAATGTTAAAGATTTCAGAGTCAGTGGAAAATGCAGTGTACAGATAATAGAAGTTTGACAACCCCATCTGTCTTCAGTTGGAAACCATACTTTGCCTACCACATATACACCAATAATTCCTTAGTCAGTGTTCATTTACTTTCAAGCACTCACTGGCCTCTTGGTTATCATTTATTAGCAGTTACTCATTACCATGTTTGTGATGACGGGCACTTGCGAAGCCTGACTCTGCCCCCAGCAATCATAGTCAGAAGTTCATTGACAAAGGATGGCTTCACTGGCTCCTAAAAGATATTATTCATAACTCACCTTTCTGCTTCAGCTGCAGATGGATAAAACATTTTCCTGACATAAAACAGTCGGAGAGAATCAGGTTTTTTGTATTATATTAAATATGCCAAAAGGAATAAACGTCACTTACTTATTTATTGTTTTCCCCATTTGATCAGCCATGGATTGTTACAGACCTTCACCAAGCAACTCCTGGATTTACCCCACTGTGATTCTCTGCTTATTTGGGTTTTTCGCCACGATGAGACCCTCAGAACCATTCCTTATCCCATATTTATCTGGACCAAATAAAAACCTGACCACTGAAGAGGTGAGTGAATATGCACATGTATCTATCTAAATGTGGTTCACTTTTGTAGGACTTGAACAAGGATCTCGAGAAAGGACTTCATTCAACTTGAAATCAGATGAACACGTGTCCCGTTTCATAGCACATGTCTTTTAATAGAACTGTTCAAACTACTCTTTGCTCTTTACATTTGCAAAACTGGGCACCCCAAACCCGTTTTATGTGTAACAAATATTTTAACCCGTATGGAGTCCTAGCATTAGTCTTACTGCATAGAAAGCTTTCAGTTCTCCTGTGACTGATTATGCTAATCCTAAAATAACACCTCGGCCAGGCACAGGATCCAGCCTAATAAACCGTCAGACTGCGGAGGGATAAGCAGGATCTCATGAAGAACTGTAAGGTCTCTTTAGGAACGCAGTCTTAAAAAACTATTTACCAGCAAGCAAGGCATTCACAGCTTTACCTCCCAGCCCTTGCCTCCTTCCCTGAAGGCCTAATTCTCTTATTTAAAAGATCTACCTCTTTTTCTTACAACAAGTCTAACAGAAAACAGCTGACCCAGCTGCAAAATTACCCTGGGCCAATCCTACAACCTCCAGCCATCCACATGAAAACACTGGGTGAAGTATGTGGCTTCACCTGCTCGCCTAGTTAGGAGTGGCTTAGATGGTGGTGAGGTGGCGAAGACAGAAAGGCAAGTTTGTTCTGTAATGTCACAGAGGGATGACTCTGTTTCAGAGTTTCTAGGGTAGAAGCATGTCACAATTATGACAGCAAAGGACAGACATAGATCCAGACTCAGTCAGCTCATTGAACCCACTGGGTTTGTATCTGCCACCACTGTGAACCAGACCCTCCCTCTAAGATGCACCTTATTCCCACTGGCCATTTTTAATGCCCTCCTGCTTTGTCCGGCAGCCTCGGGAATCCAGGTGTCAGTGCTGAGCACAAGTTGAGTGATTTGAGAGGCAGTTGTGCTCACCTACTGTGCCCCACAGATCAACAACTTCTTTAGTGCTTCCTTTCCATGAAAACTGAAATCTTGTGCCCTTCTAACTAAATCCACGAATTTGTCCACATTAAATGGATACCAAAATCATACAAGTACAGACAAGTCAGTACAATTGTGGGGGGAAAGGATTGGGAGCCCGCCAAATTTTTCCAGGGAAGAAATGAAAAGCTCACCTATTCCTACTCCGTAAATCAGCCAAGTTACTCTTTTCCTATTACCAAGTATCTTCCTGGACTGTGGAAGGGCTGACATTTTTGACATAATGTTGGATCAAATAAAGATAAAGGCTGTCAGATTCTTTTAACATTGCAGCCTATTTATCTAATGTTGTTAATCTTTGAACAAGAGAGGAATGGTATTTTTCATGAAACCAAAACTCAGAAGTGTCTGAACATTTTTTAACTAATTCACTCAACTGTAAAACCTTTTAAACTTAATATTATTATTCAGATTTCACTTTAAGCTCAACATACTCCTCTTTTACTGGGAAACATGTTTATACATACTTAGGAGTATATAAGTTGTTTGGGAAAATGACTAATTTTCCTGTATTTATACATACTTAGGAGTATATAAATTGGTTGGTCATTTTCCAATGGGGAAGGAGACTATCTTTTCTTAGTAATGTCTTTGAAAATCAGTTTTCTGATTATGTTTTGCTTAATATGAAGAATATCGGATTAGAGATAGAATTTGAGGTGCAAACCACAGGTACCCCAGTAACGTGTGGGGCTGCACGCTCACGCTGCTCATCCACCTTGCAGATCACGAATGAGATCCTTCCCGTGTGGACCTACTCCTACCTGGCGCTGCTGCTCCCCGTGTTCGTCCTCACCGATTACGTCCGCTACAAGCCAGTCATCATCTTACAAGGGGTCAGCTTCATCATCACCTGGCTGCTGCTCTTGTTTGGCCAAGGAGTGATGTCCATGCAGGTTGTCGAGTTCTTCTACGGTATGGTCACCGCCACCGAGGTGGCCTACTACGCCTACATCTACAGCGTGGTCAGCCCAGAGCACTATCAGAAAGTGAGTGGCTACTGCCGGAGCGTCACGCTGGTGGCCTACACAGCCGCCTCCGTGCTGGCCCAGCTCTTGGTGTCCCTGGCCGACCTGTCCTACTTCTACCTCAACGTCATAACCCTGGTCTCCGTCTCCACAGCCTTCCTGTTCTCACTTTTTCTACCGATGCCCAAGAAGAGCATGTTTTTTCATGCAAAACCCAGCAAAGAAATAAAGACGTCACCTAGCATGAGTGCGGTGCTAGCGGAACCTCCGGAAGGTGAAACCTTAGGATGCGGAAAGCGGAAATCCGCCTCGGAAATACCCACGGCTCCGGGCAGCCCGAGTGAGGCCCAGCTGAGCAGCCCGGCACCGAAGGCCGAGACTCTGCAAGTTTTCGTGCAGTGGTTCCGAGATTTGAAGGAGTGCTACTCCTCAAAGCATCTTTTCTACTGGTCCCTGTGGTGGGCTTTCTCCACGGCAGGTTTTAACCAGGTTTTAAACTATGTTCAAATCCTGTGGGATTACAAGGCACCGTTGCAAGATTCTTCCATCTATAATGGGGCAGTAGAAGCTATTGCAACATTTGGAGGTAAATAAATGTTGGTTTGTGTTCCTTTAACAGGCTGCCCCCTTACGGTCACTTCTCATGAACTGAACTTCTCCGGGGTGGTAAATAAGCTCTGTTCAGAAAGCAGAGTAGTCTTTCTCAAGAAAAAAAGTCCCTGGGAAAATAAAAGTACCATGACCTTCTATTTAGTGTAACATCACACACTGTCATACACTACAATGTTACACTAAATGGAAGTAACTCAGGAGCTCAGACCTCAGCACCGAACAGTCCTATTCTAGTCAAACCCCTAAGATTCCATTTTATCATTAGGACATGCCCTATTCTTTCAGTACTATTTTTAACATCAAATGGAAAAATATATAAGTAAGGAGATTTTATTATTTTAGAAATTAAATTAAGGCTTCCAATTTCTCATTGAGAGAGTCTTGCTAATAAAGGATTTGATCCGCTGATACCTTTAACAGTTCTTTAACATACACCAGCAATTTTCAAAAGCAACTCGCTTGCAAGGTTTAACTGGTGGAGGGGTCAGCCCTGTCAATACAGGCCTGCTTGCTCTCCATGGTGAACAGACCCTGCTTTGTAAGCCTTCCTACACTATAAGCCTGTCTTTTACTTCCTCAATACATTTTGTTTTATGCTTGCCTCAAAAAAATTCAAAATAAATAAATGGGGGGTAGAAATGTGAGAGTTGGGATTCTAGTATCAGAGGGAAATCTGTCTTTGAAGATTACTCTACAATAAATATTTATATCCTAGTAATGAGACTTTGAAGATATTTTCTAGGAAGTGAGAATTCTCCACGCCCTGGTGTACAAGAAGTTTCAGAACACCCATGTGACCCCCATTTTGTTATTATCTCCCTTTGGGGAGGCTTCGGTTTAATTCCTGGAAACCAGGACTGGGCTAGAATAGCTTCTCTGAAATTATTGCTCCTATATTCCAAATTCTAGAGGGGGAAACAGTTGGGTTTTTCCTCCCCTTTGTAGTCATGGTTCTTTCATAGTCTTATGTGGGATAGTTAATCACTCGTTGTCAGAACAGTTATTGAAACCCAAATACTTTCATTTTGTTAAAGAGAACAGTAACTACAGACCTTAATTACTGCCAGTGATTGAACCTCTTAAGTTAAACCTTGTTAAGTCAATATAGGGCTTTTCATGCAAAGCCTCAAGTAAATTAGATCATATCTTAAAGACCTTATAGTGGAGATTGGAAATAAGATTAAGATTAATAAATATTAATTAAAAGTAATTAAAACTTACTCCTCCTCAAGGCAACACATCTTGTAGCTATCTCTGAAAAAAACTTGTAATAAAAAATTGTAAATGTAAAGCAAATAGGCCAGATTACTCCCAGAGCAAGCTGGGTTAAGTGACTGGGTTAAGCGACTGGGTTAATGTATCACTCCCCCCCATACATGCTGCTGTGGTTAGAAACCTTTCTGTCCCCTCTGCATAGTACAGTGCCTGGTATACATTTGACACTAAAAGTGTGATGACTAAGTGACCAAAAGAACAGGAAGTGAAAAGAAAAGGCAAAAGAAAATGGTTGGAAAAAAGGATGAATCCACATTTTAGGTGGGTCATACAACTTTTGTGAAAGCAACGTACTTATCTTTTAGAATTACCAAGACCTGGGTTTTTAAGAGAGAATGTGGATCTTTCCTGCCTGCCAAGTTAGGACGTTTGATTGTCCACTGTGTTTGTCTTTTTCAGGGGCTCTGGCTGCCTTTGCAGTGGGTTACGTGAAAGTCAACTGGGATCTTCTGGGAGAGTTGGCCCTGGCACTGTTCTCAGTGGTCAGTGCCGGCTCTCTACTGCTCATGCATTACACAGCCAACATCTGGGCTTGCTATGCTGGCTACTTGATATTCAAGTCCAGCTACATGCTTCTTATAACCATAGCCGTGTAAGTATTGCCAGCCATTTCTTTCCACTCCTAAAACTGAACCATATTCCTCTTTTTTCCATATTATTAAAGTTGTTCCGAGAACTTCAGAATGGTTTTAATCAACTGCAATATTTTTTTTCCAGTCAGTTAATTTATTAGCTGCTACTATATTCAAACTGTGACATAATAAAAGTAACAGATAACTCTAAATATTACATGGCTATCTTTATGATTGGGGAGCAAGCTAATATATTTTCCCATACTTCTCTTATCTTTAAAAAAAATTATTATATATATTTTTTATTAAATGTTAACTATGTACATTAATGTCATTCTGGGGTACAATGTGGTGTTTTCATATACAATTTGAAATATTTTCATCAAACTGGTTAACATAGCCTTCATGTCATATTCTTAGTTATTGTGTTAAGACGTTCATATTCTACTCTTAGAAAGATTCACTTGTACCCTTGTAAGATAAACTATAGAAGTGATCCCTCCAATCCCCCTCCCTCCACCCATTTCCCTCTCCTCTTCCCCCCCCCCATATTCTTAGGCTGTTATTAGGTTATAGATTTCATATGAAAGCTATAAATTAATTTCATAACAGGGCTGTGTACATTGGATACTTTTTCTTCCATTCCTGTGACACTTTGCTAAGAAGAACACTTTATTAAATGTTGGTCAGGCACGGTGGCAAATGTCTATAATCCTAGCCCTCTGGGAGGCTAAGGCAGGAGGATCACTGCAGCTATGGAATTCAAGACCAGACTGAGCAAGAGCAAGACCCATTTCTACAAAAGTTGACTACTTCCTATTAAATTAGACATAACTCTAAGCCATCTCTTCATTTAACTACTTGTCCTCCTAATATTGCTAATATTTATCTTCAAGGAGAAAAGCTTTTATAAATTAAAAACAATGATACATGGCCATGTTTGAATTTTTTTATTTCTAACATTGCCTCAATAAGGAGTAATGTGATCTGATTTTAAATGCATAGGTTTAGATTTCATGCCTTATTTCATGTGGTTGGCTCCAACTTCTCTGTGGCACAGACTATTCTCAGGAAAGTTATAAAAATTTGGACACTGATAAAAGTAGATACAAAAATCACCAAAAAAAACCTTTTAACTGCGTTTAAACCACATTCACGGAGCCAAGTAGTTTTCAACCGTTTTCTACAAGTGTTTTTTTAGAATTTAGAGTTTCCTATAATCTTTGCATCTACTTTTCTCAGGGATCTTTTTTAGAGAACAATTAAAAATTGTTTGGTTCCACATAGAAATGCTGACCACAGGAAAGATGTTTTGCTTTTAACCAAAAGAGATGAAAAACATTTGACTTTTATTTGCATGGCAACAATTAAAGACAAAAGCTTTAGTAAGTTTTGTTTGTTTTTAATTTGTGAAAAATGTGTCATGAGCAATCGACAAAACACAGAAATACGAGCATCCAAGGAAAAAATCGTGAGTCGACTACTTGGCAAGTTTATTTTTTTTTCACTAACATGTCTCAGTTTAATGAATAAGACTCATGTAGCTTGAGTCCCTTTTTTAATGTGAGGATTTTATTAAGGTAAGATTACAACATTTCTTTGTAATTTATGAAATATTCAGACCCCAAAGCCTTACCTTCATTTCAAAGAAGAACTCTAAATAATACACATGTGTCAGTCTTTCCTAAATGTTTTATAATAATATTTTAAAATTTACATAATTATTAAAGATAAAGTAACTATAAATTCATTCAATTATACAACCAGTCATGGTCCAAATCTTCTAAAGAATAATCTACCTATCAAACTTTGAAACAATCAAGATAGACACTTGAAAATAAAATGAATAACTCCCAAAAAATTCTCAGATTGGGTAGTGCTTGCATATTTTTAAAAAATTCACTGCAGATCAGTATCTAAAATCAGATAACAGCCAATATTCCCAAGTTATGAGAACTTAGAACATTTATGTTTGATTTCTGGGCTGCACTAATTTGATAGAAGGAATTTTGTCATGTTACCTTTAATCCAACCTTTAATGGTAGTTTTTACTCCTTTTTCTGCTCTATCTGTTTGTCTATCCTGGAGGACATTTAGACAGGAAGGACTGTTAACAAAACATTGCTTTCTTTTCAATTTCTAATCTATCTTTTAATGATAAGAATTCCACATATGTTATAGTTAAAGTGCTTATTTGCGCTTCAATGATAGATTTCAGATTGCAGTCAACCTGAGTGTGGAGCGCTATGCCCTGGTGTTTGGAATCAACACTTTCATTGCCTTGGTGATTCAGACCATCATGACTGTGATCGTAGTCGATCCAAGAGGGCTCAACCTCCCAATCAGCATTCAGGTAAGCAGCAATACTTCTGTTTTGCTATTAATGTCATTGATGAAAATATAGACTAACTAGATAACAGCAAATATGTCTCCACATTACAACTAATCATATTTAAGTTTCTTGAATTCCTTGATTAGCAAACTTAAAAATGCACAATTCCTTAATTATCATATTGTAATGCACCAAGTAGGCTTTAAGCAATAATTAAAACTAGGTCAACATTTACCTGGATAAGGCCAATTAAAAGTAACCCCAGTGTCTAAAATTTATTTTTGAATACATTGTACATACAACATTCTACCGACGTCCAAACACAGACCCATAGTAAGATCAATGGGACTTAGTATTTTTCGTTATTAATGACAATAGTGAGGATTTAAACCCAAGCAACCTGCTCTGAAGCCAAGACTCTTCTAACATAGGAGAAGAGAGTACTGTCCAATCTTAACAACCCATATTAAGATCCTAGGTCCTAGTTACCTCATAATTCAAGCAAACCTGTGTTATCGATATTATCATTGACATAGATAGCCAGATTTTATATGTGGCTAATTATTTGTTTTTCTCCAGTTTTTAGTTTATGGTAGTTATTTTGCAGTCATTGCTGGAATTTTCCTAATGAGAAGCACATATATCATCTACTCAGCCAAATGGCTAAGGGAAGAACAGAGCCTTGCTACAAGTCAGAATGCAGATGGGCCACACCCAGAGGAACCAAGAAATACCACCACGTCAACAAGGCTCTAACCTTATTACATCAGAAGCTGCAGAGGTTTGAAAGTCACTGAATGAAAATGCAAGATTTTGAGATGGATGGAATATGTTTTTGTCATAAACTGACATGCTTTGCAAGTCTGGATTCCAATGCACCTTTTCAAAACCAGGACAAGACATCAGTTTTAGACCAGTTATCTATGTGCCCAGATGAACTTGATGTAGTCTATGGGGTCCATCATCACAATTAAACAGTCCAATCTCTGGGAGCCCTGTGAGTGGCTGTAACTGGAAAATTCTTGTTTTGCTCACTTGCAAGGACATGCAAATGGCATGGAGTTAAACCAGGAGAAAACTCCAGCCATCCTGGAGTTGGCGTTCCCCTTTGGTGAGCAGACATCCTACCTGGGTCAATGATCTTACCAAAGTGGGCAACACAGAAGACACTGTGTCACGTGATCCATTTTCTTTCCTCTTCCAGTGAATATATTTCTGTTTAAGTACAGATCTCTGAGAGAGTTACAAGGTTTGGTTCCATTTCTATGGGCTCCTCTCCCACTCTGGTGACACGGCATTATTTATAAGCTATGATTTGATAATATCATCATTTAATTTTTTTATGATTATTTTTCATTTTGTTTTCTGTTGTTAAAACTCTACCTCAAAGATAGCTCCAAACACTCCTGTACATCCACAGAGTAATCTTCACATCATTTCCCAGTGGCCTGAGAGAGGCAATGAACCTTCTCCCCATCATGACCCCAGAGCGGTCTTTTAATGCATCAGTATTGTATCTATCTAAAATAGGAAAACTTTTAAGGAATTTCTAGAGGTTTCTAGAAGTATTTGGAAATAAGAAAACACTGGTGGGAAGGGGTATAATATACTTAATTTTTAAATGGAAGAAACTGTGCTAAATAAAATGTGTCAAAAGTTTGAAGAGTCTTTTTCATTTGTTGATGAATTCCGCTGAAAGCTATCTGAGCACGTCTGTCCTTTGAAACGTTAATAGAGGATACATTGAGCAGCCTGATGGTGGGAATAAAGAACGCTTCCTCAACATGTTCCCCTGTAATAAAATTAATTGCTAAAAATGAGGAAGGTCTACGAATATCAGCATACAAAGAGCTCTAAAAATATATTGCTAATATTAACTGGAAAAAAGTCAAGGGCCCAAATAATAAGAAATGCAGGAAATTATTTGTGTAAAGGTAAGGAGAAAAACATCTGTATTGGCTTCTAGGTGCATATGACTTTTCTGGAAGGACAAGTGAAACTACTAGTAATGATTTCCTGCTGTGGAATAATAGGAAATGAGAACATTGTCAACTTCCCATGGCATTCGATGTTTGTGCCACCTGAATTACTCATCCCCAAATTAAAATCCTACTTGACAAAAAAAAAATACTGTTTAACCTCTTTGAGAAATGAATTTGCACTGAAGAATGAGAAGCTGGAGGTCTGATAACCATTATGATGGTTTGACATTTTGGGGATGTGCATGAATAACAAAATGAACATTTATAACTTCAAAATAAAGAGGAAAAAATTAAGTATACCTGACATCAAAAAATTAAATTAAAAAAAAAATTTTTTTTTGAGATACAGTCTCACTATGTCTTCCTCAGTAGAGTGCCATAGCATCACAGCTCACAGCAACGTCTAACTCTTGGGCTTAAGCGATTCTCTTGCCTCAGTCTTCCAAGTAGCTGGGACTAGAGGCTCCTGCCACAATGCCCGGCTATTTTGTTGTTGTTGTTGCAGGTGTCATCTTTGTTTAGCTGGCCCAGGCTGGGTTCGAACCCGCCAGCCTCGGTGTATGTGGCCGGCACTGTAACCACTGTGCTACAGGCGCCGAGCCTAAATTAAAACTTTTTGTTTGATATCTCATTAAAGAAAAAGATTTTTTTTTAAAGATAAAAGCTCCTCACATAAATGCCAGCCACTTTAAGCTGTGATTACCAACTCCAACTATAATTCTGCAATCAGGAGGTAAAATATGAAAAATGTGAAACTGGTCCAAAGTCAATCCTGCAGGAAACAGGAAAGGTGCCGTTTGAATTCAGGTAGGCCTGACCTTCTAGAAGAGCTGTGGTCTTTCTGCTGCTCCAGATTCGTCCACACCCGACACTGGAGAGAAGTATACGTATTCATAAAGCATGAGGACCTCTCAAGGACCCCACGAAACAGCAAAACTTCAACTTGTAGGACTGTAGAAACGTGAGAGCGGTGGGTTTTTTAAGTATATTTTCATATTGTAGATTACCTCAGGGGTAACTAGAAAACATTTTTATCTAAAGAATCCTTATACTTCAAAATATAGTCATATACCAGGTCAGACAATTAAGTTCATGAACGAACCCTAGAACAAGTGCTATATACCTCATTGCTGAATATCACTACTGTCACCTTCAAAGTATTTCCCTAGGCCACCTGGTGGTCGACCACTTACTACACAACTGCCTTCTATTTGGCGCCATAAAAATCAGTGAAAATAAAGTATAATGACGAGGATGACATGATCTATCTTTGAAGGGACTCCCTCGGATAAATAGGGTCAGTAGACAAACTTGTGCCAATCCAGAGAGAGATGTTGAGATCAAAGGGCAAGATTTGCAGCTGCTTGCTAGGAGGGCCAATTAACTCAGCCAATTAACTCCTGCTCAGGTCCTGGAACCCAGGACAGAAGAAACTGATGGCCCAGCTGAGGCCTGAGTTGGAGCTTTTGAAAACCATTAGAAAATTTAAGATTATCTGGGTACACATCTTCCCTATAGTTATTGTGATTTATAACTCTCAGCTTCAACCCTCCCCTTTCAGCATTTGAATTATAAATATGGATGGTTTTTAAATGGCAATATATCTTGAACCTAAGAAAAAAAGTTGTTAATTTTCAATTATCTTCTTTATATGTATATAAAAAGGACGTGTGTGTGTGAATGTGTGTGTGAGCGTGATGAGAGAAAGAGAGAGAGAGAGAGTGGTTCTTACTGTTTTATCCTGAGCTCAAGTAAACCTCCTGCCTGGGCCTCCCCAAGTGCTGGGATTACAGGCATGATCCTATGTGCCTGGCTTATTTCCTTCTTAATATGGGCTTTTTGTGTGTTGTTATTATGTTTCTTTCTGAAATTAAGAATTAAAATGACAATTATCTAAAGAGAAAGCTGTTCTAATTAAAGAACAGAAGGGAGGTCTACAGAATAAATATGAGGTTTCTGATTTCTGTTATAAGTTACCCCCATGGGGGGCTTTCTTCCCGCCCTACTGAATCCTCCCTCTCAGCTGAGGCATTCAAACGGGTACGGTTAGAGAAACATGGTCACACTCTCCTGTCTTCTTCTTTGGGACCCCTTCCATGTTTCCCTGGAGGGGTGGAGGGAGCCACCTTGTAAGAATGGCACTCTGGGGCACCTGTAATCCCAGCTACTTGGGAGGCTGAGGCAAGAGAATCGCCTGTGCCCAGGAGTTGGAGGTTGCTGTGAGCTGTGTGATGCCATGGCACTCTACTGAGGGTGACAAAGTGAGACTCTGTCTCTACAAAACAAAAACAAAACAAAACAAAAAGAATGGCACTCTGTACTTGTTTTCTCCTAATTCTGTCTTTGAAGACATTTTCTAAGAAACTGCCGTGTTCCACACTCGTGTTTATTGACATTTTTCAAGAAAACTGTGTTGAGTTTATTTGCCTAGTTCCTCCCCCTTGTGAGGATCCCGCTCTAAAATCTGGCATTATTCTGGGATGTTTTTGTTGTTGCTCCTACGTGCAAGTTTGGAGTAGGAGGTAAATCTTAGCTTCACTTCACGCACAGTCTTTCCATAAGTCACATTTACAATCAATAGAATTTCTTTTTTTCCTCCTTTTGCTTTAGTTTGGTTATAGAATCAATAGAGTTTCTAATTAATCTTATAAATCAATTTTTAAGATGCAAATACTTTAGATGCAAATACTTTCTCATCACCTTTTAAAAAAAAAAAACTAATGCCTCATTATAGAAAATGCCTTCACTAAATTAGTCAATTTAGAAAAGAGATATGTGGTTCTAGAACCTCCAGTAAGTTAGAGCAGACCCATAAGGAACTAGGCGGGTCACCAATAAGAGATTTAAGAATAGACTACTGCGTCATACATGCAGGATTTGTTCCAGGGATTTCATCTTAGACCACAGGGGAGCTGGTTACGTCCACAGGGCAGGAAGGGAGGGTGAGCAGACAGATGTAAGGCAGGGAAAGCAAGCATGGACCGTGAGCTGGGGTCCATGAGGATGGACAGATGCTGGTGTCAGTTCCTGCTGCCCCTGACCTCGGACCGCGGTTGTCACACAAGGGCAAGCATCCTTTGTTATGACACTCACCGCGTGTCTATCGGACCAAAGAGGGAAGCTGAAGGAAGGTCCGGGGGAAGATGGAACCATTGTAGGCCTTGGCTCCTGCCTCACATCAGGGAGGGAAAGAAAAGAAAAAGAAAAAAGGAAGCGGAGGAAAAGGTCGTTCGCATCTGGCAGAGCCGAATCAAGTTGTTTTTCGTTAAGTCAAAAGTCAAATAAAAAATGTCTGCATTTTTTTTTGGCAGTATGTGTACTGACAACCATAAATATAAGCCTTTTGCACACATTGAACAGGAAGACTTAGATCAATCCTTACTCTTTCTTTTCTGGAGCCATGACCATCTTCACAGTAGACCACGTGAAAGTCCACTGGGATCCTCTGAGACAGTGGGTGTGTGTATCTTTCTCAGTTGTCATGACCAACTTTGGACATGCTTTGCTAGTTATTTAATATACAATTGAAGGGGGTGAGGGTGGGAGGAGGAGCTATGCCTGTAATTGTTGCCAAAGCAGGAGAATCACTTACAGGAGTTCAAGACCAGCCTGAGCAAGAGTGAGACCCTGTTTCTACTAAAAAAATGGAAAACTTATCCCAGCATTGTGAAGGGCACCTGTAGTCCCATCTACTTGGGAGGCTGAGGAAGGAGGATTGTTTGAACCCTAGAGTTTGAGGTCACTATGAACTATAAGATGCCACTATAGTCTAGCCTGAGCAACAAAGTGAGACTCTGTCTCAAAAATATATACATATATGAGTCAAGTTATAGCTGCATATACATTATAATCCATTTATTTATAACCTCTAAATCTGAATGCAGTATTATCTTTTCTTAG